TTCTGGAGAACAGTTCAATAGCTGCTGTCACTGTGAACTCCTTGATAGACAACCCAGTGCCAGCAGAGACTGACCGTTGGTCCAAGGTATAAGCATGGACATACGCCTGCTATAGAGCTTCCTCATACAGCAACTGAGTGAGCTGGAGAAAAATTTAACAAATTTGATTGGGAAATCTCAAGTTCATCCACCAAGCTAATGAACACAGGAGTGTCCCAGAGCAAGGTCTAAATCTGAAAAATAACTGCTTTTTGGCATGTCTGTGGTTGTTATTGAGGGAGTGAGGAAAATCTCTCTGCAAGTGGGATTTTTTTTTTTAAACATTTCAAGAAGGTGGCATTTGACTTTGAAAGCATCAAAGCAGTACCACTGACAGAAAACCGGCATCCCTAGTCACAGGATGAAGCAGAGAAAAATCTGCATGTGGCAACAGTCACCAGCTCTGCTCTGCACGCTCGATGCACACCCGACACAGGTGCTGGGGGCATTCCTTCATATCTACCCATGCAATGCTACATATTTGTGCTAAAAGAATATGCTAAATCCCCCTTAGCATGGGTGCGATATGTTATTGAGGGATATTTTGCATTGAGACAACCTGACCCCAAAGCCCAGGGAGATAGGTCAATAACTGCCATCAGAAAGGTCAACCATTTTTAGCTGTTGCTGTTTATGACTGGTTTTAAAGTGGGGATGGAGAATTTGTCCAATAACAGGCTTTTGAGCTCTACCTTGTCTTGAAGCAAGACACTAGGACCCGCTGAGGGATATGGAAATAGATTCAGCCATGACCTTTTCTGAAGCGCTCCACATGCTCAATGACCCCTTTAAATCAAACATTTACGTGCTTGGAAGGACTGGAGCTGCTTTTTCAGGTCTGCCTACCGAGGTGCACTCTTATGTTCTTGACATTTTACTTGCTATAGGTTTTTGCTTTCTCTGAAGGATGAACGAGGCTGGTGCCTTGTCATATTTTCAGTCTGACCAGCATTCCTTGCTCCTCTCTGAAGAGCAGTCACTCATGTGGCTCAGATCTCACTTCTGTCACAGCAGCACTAGCCAAGTAGTCATTTTCCTCTTACTTTCCACAGCTGAATTAAAAGGAGGGGAATATACAGCTTTCTTCCTTAGCCTGTCAGATATCACTTTACAGAGTAAATGTGAAAGTGAAAGGTTTCCTCGTATATGTTCACTGAAGCAGGATTATCTGTCAAATGAACACGAATGCTGGATTCTCCCAGTACTGTGGGAGCGTGCGGCCAGTGTGCTAGGATGATGTAACACGAGGCTGGCTGCGCCACTCTCTGCAGCCTGAGAATGACAAAAGAGCACGGCAAAGGCTGTTGAGCACCAGCTAGTGAAGCAGCATCTGGGAAAGATCAGCCACAGCTGCTGCGGAGTATATGCTATCTGGGCTGCATAACTGAACAGAACAAAGGGAAATGGAGGGCTCAAAAATTTAATTTTGTCCTACATACGTGCTTCTAACGGCCTACCCTGAAAGCCACCAACTGCTTTCATGCTTAGCAATAACAGCCTCTTTCCAGGAGCATCATTTGTATCTGGAGTTAACATTGATTTTTTTTTTCTCTTCTCCTGTAGAATCCTTTGGTTAATTTGTTTTTAAAATGCTGTACAGTAATTACTTTCTTTAAATGAATCATTGGACAAACTGGCTCTTCATCGAACTTGTCGCTTAATCTTCTATTTCTCTTTTAACCTGAACCTTACAATAAATTCTAAGCTTGGCTGAAAGTCATCAGCAGAACATGGGAGAAGGGAAACTATTTACTAAGCTGCTAGATTTCATTACGTATACATGGATGAAAACATAATAGCACAGAACAGCCAGATTTTTTCTGTTGCTTTGTTTGTGACGTTACAGTGACGCAGATTTATAAACAAATTCAGCTCATTTTACACACACAGGTTCCAAGGCAAAAATCAAGTTCAAATATGTAGCAAATTAAACTTTTCACAATGCAACGATCCCAGCTGCACTTACAGTAAGTAACAATTTCCTCCACAAACTGTCCCATGGGCTTTCTTCATGGGCGGCACGGCATCACTCCTTGTGCTTTAGGGTTTAATCAGGAGAATATACAATCAAATGAGCATTTAGAGACCTCTGAAGAATGACTTTAGTGGCCTTGTAACTGCTCCTCATCCTAGGGGTGGGGGAGCGCTAGCTTTCAGAGACGCTAAACTGTAGTCTACTTAGCATCTCCAGTTAGCTGAACTAAACTTCACACATAAAATTAAGGAGCTCGAGACCACCTGTCCTGTCCTGACATAGACCTGTACAGAGTATCTTACCAGGAAATTAAAGCATGTGGCACGTAACTGAAGTTATTTTTAAGTGCTTTGCCACTGTGCTAACATATACAAATCTAGAAAATATGCTGAAAGGGTACCAAAATATTGATTAGACAACTGAATTTCAGAGAGAGCTGTCTGAATACATTTGAAATGTATGCAACAGTGCCTATGTAGTTTTGATTAGTTTGCTTAGCAAACACATCCACTCAAAACTTTTCCTCTTTCCATCACTTTTCCTTTCTCTCCACTCCTTCCCCCTACCCAGTGAGGTTCTATTCTTTTTATTAGGAGACCAAGCAAAATTCTGCTAATCAAGCATAAATAGCTCCTGGATATACATCAATTAAGACTAATCTCCATTTAATAGGTAACTGATTAGAAGTCTGTAAAAAGTTCTAGTCCTAAAACAAGAAAACACTTGTGCTTGCGGGCATGCATAGGATATGAAGATTACCTCAAGGGCGACTGAAAAAAATTATTTTAAGTGCAAGTTTCAGAAAAACAAAAAGTAATATAGGCATAGCACAGTAATAGTTTCCAAAATGGAGGAGATTTTTGCCCAGATCGAAGATTAAGAGACCCATCCTATTCGAAGTGGAGAGAGAAGGTGGTCACCATATCTTAGTAAAAAGTTACCTCTTGCTGTATGCAGTGGCTTCTGAATATATATTCTGTTAATTCCAGTAGGGAACCAAGCGAAACGCAACAGCTGTATCTTGCTGGCCCAAGACCAAGCTGGTATCATGGCTGACTGACAATATTAGTCTTTCTCAGATGAAAGGATGAAATTTTTCTCAGATGAAATTTTATTCAACCAAAAGAGAGATAAACTTGTTGGTATCATCATTGTCATGAGGAATTCTAGGATCTGAAAGAACTATGTAACTAAAATGCAAGTCTGAAGAACATACAGTAAATGAGTAAATTGCTTAAGTCATTATAAGGAGAGTTACATATGGGGTTGAAAGATAATCTAATGCAGCATATTCAAGAGTAGCTAGAGAAGTAGATTACCTTACCAGCTTGGGTTTGATAGCTTCCAGTGCTTTCACTGCTGAGTTAAAATTCAAAACAGGTTTTAATTCCACTGTGTTTCCATTTCCTGATTGTCAGCTAATGACTGCACTGTTCCTATAGTGGTGGCATCAAAATTGCAAGAGATTGCAGTACATTAGCTGAGTACGTTTTGATACTCGGAAAATATAAAGCAATATGTAGGGCTTGAATTTCACATGGGGAAATGCGAAAATATGTAACTGAGAAATCCAAAGTATTCTCTAGTGACTTGCACTAAATGAGTAAATTATACTTGCAAAATCAAGTACTGAAGCTGGAGATTGCTGTTTAAAGGAGCTATTTTTTTTCAAATTAGCTGTGTTTGTTATGCATTCATCAAATCCCAGTGCTCCCAGACAGTCTGAATGTGTTGTTGGCATAATAAAGTCTCTAGAGGCTGGGGGGAGTAGACATCCCAATATAAGTGGGACAGCCTGTTGACTTGAAACACAGCCACCTTCCACATCTCAAAATACATGCCAAAGCATTTCATAATGATTCCAAAATTAAAATCGGTTCTTTACACGACCTCTTTTGGAAAACTTGCTTCCAGGTTAAAGAAAAACTCAGACTCGCTTCATCTATTTAGAAAGGAGCAAGAAGCATATGCAATTTCAGTTTAAAAGATAGAAAATAAGCTCTGGCAAGTTCAGCAGAACTCAGAGAAAAGAGCAGTGGCTACGCTGGAAATGCACATAGCTGTGCCCATCCAGCCTTCAGCACAGAACGGGCTGGGACACTGCTTTGTTCACACAGAGCAAAGCAGATTTTGAAAGAAGAGTTTAGAGGTATGGAAGTAAGTTAAGAGCAGTTGCGCTTAGACACCGTGCTATCTTTGCGTGGAGAATTTTAAACTAGTGCCATGATGGTACTGGTGGACATTACGCCACAGGAGACACCCCTCAAAACTTAGCGCAGAGGTGAAATATTCTGTGGGAGCAGTGAATTGGCTCAGCTGTGTTCTGTATCACCAAGTCCAGCTGTTTGGGATACAAACTCGTTCAGCAATGAGCTTTGAAAAATGAGGAATGTTCACCTGTCCCTCCGCAAATTGAGAAAGGGCCAGGAGCGTTGCCCAGGTTTAAATAAAAGACAAAGCCCTCCTAAGACAAAACCCTTGAACGCAAACTTTCAGCTCATTTCTACTCTAAAACAATCAGAAATCAAGCTTCTAAGTCACTTCTGAATGTGGAACATGTACTGCCAAGATTTGTAGCAACACTTCAGAAAACATTTCCAACACATCCAACTTTCATCTCCGAATACAAATTAGATTGGGGCTAGGGGAACAAGATCAATGAATATCACTAATTTTCTTACTTGGGAACTCAGTAAAACTTTTCACAAGCATTTAAACTTCTTACTTTAAAACGTCTGAATAATAAACATGCATCATCTCACAGATGTTTGTCTAACTAGCATTCATAACATTGAGTTAACCTACAGTGACATTGTAGATAAAAACTAATGATCCAATATGCTTTTGCTTTAGTGCTTTTAACAGCGATTTTAACTGTTTTTCTTTATGAATACTCAGTTTATTATTGCTTATAATTTATTTTTCTCTTTTTATGTAGAATGATGAAGAGGTAAATAGCATTTCTCATTTATCTCTGTTTCAACAGGAGGGATATTCGAAACTGTGGAAAATGAACCTGTTAATGTTGAAGAATTGGCTTTCAAGTTTGCAGTTACCAACATTAATAGAAACAGAACACTGATGCCTAATACTACATTAACCTACGACATCCAGAGAATTAACCTTTTTGATAGTTTTGAAGCCTCAAGAAGAGGTAATTATCTCAATTACTCTTTCAGTAACATGCATGTTCCATACTGCTTCTTCCCAGCCTCATCCCTGCTTTTTCTCCAATCCCAACATATATGGTATATAAATGGTAACCTAAAACTTACCTTTCAAAGTTATTTGAACTAAGAACCAACTTTGACTTGGACTTGTCATCTAGTTTCTGATAAAATGCCTACATCCTGCCTGCGTGCTAAGAGCCCCAGATGAAAGGTGGCAAGTCCAACTGATTTTTCTTTCCAAAAAAATAGATTTGCCACCTGGAATTCCGAGGAAAATGATCACTGACTAACAGGGAGCACGGTGGGATGTCACAACCCATAATTAGCACACACAGACAGATATCCATTATTCATAACAAATGATTCCTATTGTACTTCAAAGCACAGAAGCCAGTAGTCTCCCTGTCCTGAAATATTAACGTTTCAGTGGCTTAGAGACAGAATTACAAGTACCCTGCTATAAATAAGTGTAAGAATTGGAGTGAACAAGATTGGAATTTTTGCCTATTCTTTTATATTCCCCAGAGGGACAGTTATGGTCCAATTTGCTTGCAGCCTGCCCCTCGCCAAAAAAAGGAAAAAATTCACAACTATCCTTAAAGTACAGTGTATTTCTTCACCTCCAGAAGGCAAACTTGAAGTTTGCTGAAATTTTATATGCAGCAGTCTAGTTCCTGGAATTAAGGGATGTGCACATAATCTGACACAAACAAATCTGGGAAAAGACCCATAAGTCTCTAAGACATTGCAGATGTGCTTTGCAGTTCATTATAATATCCATTACTATAAATGGTGCAAGATATGTTAGCTATCAGGCAAATGAAGGTTGGAAAACAAACATGTTTCACATCATGAATTCTGCTAGAACACTGGTGAGCTGCTGCTTTCCAAATATCTAAGTTACTAAATTTTCTTCATGGCAATTAAGTTTCTTACTGAAGATTGGAAAAAAAGGAGGACGCTTTCAAACAAGATTAGATTTTAATTATATTTACTGCATTGTTCTTCAAATATCAAATATATGCTGGAATTATATGCTATAAAAAGTCAAATATGCTGGATTTATAATCTACATAATCCAGACTGAGATAGGATTTTAGATTTCTGTGATCCTTTAAGAAGGCTTCTGAATTAAACCTTGAAAACCTGTGCATTTTATGCTGTCTGTAAAACACTCATTTGTAGGCTGACAACAGAAAATAATTCATTTTCTGTCACATTCTATTACTTTCGCAGAGCTAAATATTAATTTTAAAAACCTCAGTTCATTGTAAATGTTTGGATACATAGTATTTCAGCCAATTACAATAATTCCAGGATTTCCCACAAAGAACTACATCACAAAGAGTAAAGCATTGCAACTCAGTGCAAGGCTTTGTCCTATTCCATAAAGACCTTACTAGAAACATGTGAAGCAAATTTTACTAATGTGCAAAAGTAATTAATATTATTTGGCCTTAGGTCAGTTAGCCTGAGAAGACATGGGAGGGAGAGACAAACGAAGTGCAACCTAAAGGAGGAATTCTTTTGCTAGAAATATTAGCTACAATGACTAGAGTATAGGTACCAGGAAAAAGAAACCTTTAGCCTAACACGCACTATACTGTTTGTTGATAATTGATATGAACTTCTGAATGATTTGGAAAGGTACTAAAATATCAGTGTATGCTGGCTCTTCCTTTCCCTGTGTTTTACTGAAGGTTCTAGGTTTCACCCCTTGTTTTGTAAACACAGATTATGAAGTACCATGAATCACAGTGCCCTTTACTGTCTATAATACTTCAATAGCCTGAAATTAAAGCAACTCACATTGGTAACAGTTTGCCAGTCACAAAGGGAATCTTTTTAGCGCCTATTGCGACTCCATGAACATATTCCCTGACATTCTGCCATGAAACTTAATGCATGTGACATCCCTTTGGCAAGCTTGTAGTCAGAAAGCTCCTGGTTTTGCCAGGATAATGCCACTCTGAGAAAGGCAATTTAGGAAGAATCGGTGTAATTAGAAGGTAATGAGCAGAGAAAAGGTTTGTTGTTGTTGTTGTTGGGTTTTTTTTTTTTTTGCAAGGTGTTCTAAGATAGAAAACTAATCAGTAAAACCATTTTCAGGAACCATTTTCAAGTCTTTCAGTAGGTTTAAGAGCAAAATAGTTACCCGTTCTCACTTTGAAATGGTGAGGATGGATGGAGAATACATTTTTTTGGTAAACATCACAGAGGTTACCTGCAGACTAACAGCTTCTCTCTCTTCCCCAGCATGTGATCAGCTTGCTCTTGGTGTAGCTGCCCTGTTTGGACCGTCCCACAGCTCCTCCGTTAGCGCAGTGCAGTCCATTTGCAACGCACTTGAGGTCCCACATATACAGACCCGATGGAAGCACCCTACAGTGGATAACAAAGATGCGTTTTATATCAACCTCTATCCAGACTATGCAGCCATCAGCAGAGCAGTTTTGGATCTGGTACTATATTACAACTGGAAAATAGTAACAGTAGTATACGAAGACAGCACGGGTATGTAGTACTGGCGCATTGCGAGTCATGTACTTTTATTTATGAATATATATAAACAAATTCTGTGAAAGATAGTGCATGTGATAGTTCAGCTTGGCATGCTTACTGCAGTTGTCCCTAGGATATAGAAAAAGAAAAGACCTCCTAAGGTACAGATATCCTTCTAATCCTATGCCTTTTGAAAAGCTGTTCATTTTCTCAGAACTTTAGGAGGCACCAGGATGTAGCACCTGAATTCTTGGTATTGAATCACATTACGCTGCTTCCTCTCTGTGAAACCAATGACTCAGCTCCAAACTGATAAACATTCTCATGTGGGGCTGATTATAGATTCCTTCTCTCAGTGAGTGGCTGATCTTAAGAGAACACATCTACAAAATGCAACTTCAAACTACAGCATTGTTAATGTAGAGACTATTTCGTTCCTTGAAACTGTCTCAGAAAGAGTCAGTCCCGTTGTTAGTGGGATACCTGAAGGTTGAGTCTGAAAGTTGCATTTCCTCTAGATGTTTCCAGCCCGGGACTCTTGAAGAAGATTATTCTCTGTGACAGGAGCCTCCTCATGGGGTATACAGCAGTCATGGCTATCCAGTAACATACCATGGATGATCAATATCAGTAGCAAATCCCTTTCTATTCTTAGAACAAAAAAGCTGTGAAAAACAAACTCATTGCTGGGAGCAAGTGATTTCAAAGCATATAAGAGATTAGATCTTTTTATTTTTTAAGCACACTGAGATTGAGGAAGATTATTGATGTTATAAGGCAGCCTAAGCCACTGTTTCATATTTTTACATACCTAGGCTTTACTACCCTTGTAGCTGATACCATATATTGTACCAACAACCATAATATTTCAGCCAGTGCCATTTCCCTCACTGGAGCTGAAAAGGATTCTGTTTCTGAGAAATATATTAGCCATTCTGGTCATTCATAGAATGGCATTTCTAAACTGTTCTCAGAAGCAGTCCCGTCTGGTAGGATTAAACACTAAAATTTATTGTAAGAATGATTGCAGAGACCATAATCTCTCCTACAGTGAAGATTCAGCTATGGATTAAGCATCCATAATCTGGCTTCGCAAGAAAAGGTTTGCATATAAACAACCCAGTTAAAGCTCAGAGAGATCTATAGCTCTCCCATTAAAGTACAGGAAACTCTAAGCAAGGCTGATCAACTAGTTTTTTCACTTGGGCACAAAGTCGCATTAAAGGGCGCATTCTAAGCAGCAGAGAAGATTTTCTTGGAAACTGTTGTTCATTAGCAGTCCTTGATGTAAAATAAGCACTGTGCTGTCAGCCCAGCTCTGAGACCTGTATTTCCCTTTCTCTTCCCATTGCCCATAGAAAGATTGTGCCTTTTACAGCTCTACAGATGTGCAGGTAACCTTTGAATTGATCTTTTGACACTGGCGTAAAACAATGCTGGAAAAGCCATCAAAGCATCTGTCTAAGCCTTTAAAGAGGGTATGTAAACCAAAACATGTTTAATAAAAGTCATATTGTAAAAATATATCTGAAAGACAGAATTCTACTAAAAAAATCAACCTCGATTTTAAGATGAAAAGGTTATTTTTATTTCTGAACTGCTGAGAGCACAAAAGAAGCACAATTCCCATCTTGGATGCAAGAGGGAGCTCTCAGTGCCGACATTCTGCTCATCTTGGATTAACAGAGTATACCAGAGGGCTGGAGGTAGAAAACTATTGAGCTATTTTTTACCTTAGAGACTAATTTAATGTTAAGAGCAACTTCACTTTTAAAGGAACAGTGAACTCATAGCTATATTAGTGACCCCTGCCTAGGTTATCCGGGTTGCAGATTAATCCTGGCCGAAGGGTGGGGACTACTTTGAAGATCAAATGTGAAAATCCTTCATGCCACAGCACTGCTGCAAGCCTGCCTGCCATCATTGTCAGTTCCAGCAAAGGCCGCTTACTGTGCTTGTTTGTCAAGCTGAGATTCCCCACCGCCACCGCAGTTATGGCTTTCACTCCTACATCAGAACAGAAATGCAGTTACAACTTAGGACTTAGCAATATTAAAAAATCAGTTCTTTTGAGTGAGTTCATGTTTCCAAATGATTCAGACCACTTGCACCTAGCCTCCTTATCTCGATCATTGTTTGCTGTCCTGCCAGTTTTTGTGAGCCAAACGTTTTTCAGCCACAGCTTTTTCCGGTCATTGGTTTCAGAGTGAATACAGGGACAAGAAGACGGCAAATGTCTGAATGGTTTAGTCTGAATGGCCCAGCCTTCACACACCCCAGCTGTTTAATAAAGTTTTCTCATTGACATCTGCTTTTTGAGGTCTGACAAACTATTATCTTACAGTTCCACATTTTTCATGAGCAGGTCATACGATATATGAAGATGGACACCTTCCAGGAACAACTATTTTACATTTAGGAAGCTCCTTGTCTCAATTGAACTTTTTAACAACAAACATACACAATATTCTGTTGACAGTTCAGCATGTCTCTTAATTGTAGTCGTAAGTTTTCATTCTTCAGCATTTTACTGCCATATCAACTTTGTTCTTAGTTTGTTCAGCGCTGCCACCGGGGTAAGCTATTCCATGTCTTCTCACATACCCTTTTTAATATTGACAAAATATTACCATATTTTTGTTTTAGAAAATTTAAATCTTTTAACAATCTTTTAGAATTTATTTAAAGTTCCAATATGTATCACATTAATTTTTGAGTGACAACAATCCACTCAGTGGACTCTAACAGGACTCTTAATGATAAGCAAATTTTATGTGAGCAAATCTAGAAAACCTGCAACCAACAGATAGTGCTTAACATCCTCCTCAATTAAACGTTGAATAAAAAGCACTTACTCTTCCTACATCTTATCAAATATAGAAACGTTAGCAGGTTCTGTCTTTTACGCATTATGTTAAACAACTTGACTAACTCCTCTCAATACACCTATATCACTTCTAGAGCTTTTATTTTGTTCCTGAAATACTTTAGCAAACACCTTCATGGGATCCTGAGCTATGCCAATTAGATTTTTATCCTCTTGTCCCTTAGCCATCTATATAAAGAATAATAAAGTACACTCTAGCCTCTACTTTTATTTCTAATTGCTGTCTTTACCGTGCCATTGAAAGATAGACTTTGAGCCAAAGTCGTCCTTCTTGATGATGCATTAATGGCTTTCTGGCTTTTTTTAAAGATCTCATAGATTTCTCTCTCTAAACTTCTCATTCAACTCCTTATTGCCTATAGCTTCCCAACACTAAGGAAAAATAAGACTCCTAAAGATATTCATTGTTGTGGTGGAGAACGTCCTCAGTTTTCCCATATTGAGCATAATCCATGCTATGCTCAGAGTCCCCAGGCCGTAATCAGCCTTCATTCTGTGGATTAATTTCTCTGTATCTTTCTTCACAGTTTTCAAAAAGAGTTAGTTTTATCAAGTGTAATTCCTTTGTTTAAGGAAAAAATTGTCTCCTGAAGTTTTAAAGACAGACCATTGCAAGGCTTTGTTAAACCTTGCGCTAGTCTGCATGATATATCCAGCAAGCCTCTCCCAGATTTAGGTACCATAAACTTTGCACAAATTATCTCTCCACTTACTAGAACAGGATACACAGTTCTTTGGTTTCATTTAATGGTTTGTGATAGATCTCTTCCAATATCTCACTTTTGCACTTTGTTATTTGGCACATTGATCTGTAATAGACACATGACTTTGTCTCAGCAACTAACAACCCCAAAGAAACAACACTGCCTTCAGTGCAAGTTTGACTGTGCCTCATCTGCTCCATCTTCCCTGAATCCAATAATTTCAACATAGCAGATTCTGAGAAGGGCAACTACCCCAGATTCCTCATCTTCTGAAAGAACCTCTGACTTCCCTCACTTGTTAGCCAACTCTCTGAGCGTTTGTTTAGTAATTAGAGGAACCTAATCTTTTCTTCACATCAGTTCAGCTTCTTCGCATTGTGCAGAATGTGAGTTCTTACTGAACTGGCTTTCTTGTGACTTGTATAGTTACAAGAGACATCTAAATTTGCTAATCCTAGCATAGTTTTATAATAGAAAGGAGTATTTTCCCCAGTAGCGGTAAAACTATTTCTTCAATTTTTAAACCTGACTGAATTAACTATGCTTTAAAAAAAAAAAGAAGAAGAAAATTAAATGGAGTGTGGGGGAAACACCTCCTGCCCACACACGCTACCACATTTACCGCCAATGTGTATGGTAATATGCTTGTTGGAAGATTGTCTCTATGCTATCTACATATGAATTCCTAAATACAGCGCACATAACGTGTAGTCATTCCAGATATTATGAAGTAATATGAAATATTCAAAGACTTTCCAATATTTAAATATTTTACTCATGTCAAAACAAACCATTTCTCTTGCTCAAATCACTAAAAGCCAAGTTGGTGATAAAAATTCAGTCCCAAATTTTGCTAAATCACTTGAAGTTAGAGACAAGAAGAAACTTTCTTGATATCACAGAAAATTCTCAACCTTGTTTCCAAAGGAAAGGTGTTCAGCTATCTGGATTAACGACAGCAGAATATAGGGAGCAGGCCAAGAAAGTTCATGTAAAAAGTGTGATTTTCATCCTTAAAGATTTTGCTTATGAATCCTGAACTAAGCCTTTCCTTTCAACAGGACAGGGTAAAGGTCTCTCCAGGACCTTCACAGGGCCCCTCAGCCACCACAGTGTCCACCTGGCTGGACTGAAGAACAACAGTTTTCTTACCCAAGTTCCTGCTTCAGCACAGCCCTGCACAACTACTCTTCCTGCCATGCCCAGGCTCTGCCCTCCTGAACCCTTCCCAGCTGAGCTGCCACTTTCCAATGCCCTGGGGAGCCAGCAGTGCCTCCTGCCTGTCCAGTCCAGCTTGAGGTGGTCCCACTGCGTGAGCAAAGGGTGACAGCTCTAAGTGCTGTGCTTGCCCCAATCTGTTCTCCCAAGGCAGTTGGACCAAGCACTTGGCATTTTTAAGTGAAGTCAGATATCCAATCAAAACCTGGTGGTATCATGTTCAAGGGGTTGTTAAGCAGGATGAAGAGGAAGAGGAGGACACTGATGGTTATTTCCCCATGTTATTGATTATGCTGGCAGCCAGTTGATTGAGGGTTTTGTCTAGTCCTCCAAGAAAAAATCTGCAGCTCCTTTCACACCTAAAAGTTTCTTTGATTTCTTCAGAGCATTATAACCAGACTTTGCCTTCGCTTGATATGGCAGTAGGATGCGGTGGGAAAGGCAGGGTCCAAGTCTCAAGAGACTAAAGTAGATATTCTAAAATGTGCAGTTTTTTCCTTCCCCCAAGAAGAAAATGGGGAGAATCGTTGTCTTCACTAAATCTTATTTCTGCTCCTACAGTTAAGCAACACTTGCAGTTAACCACTTTTTGCTGTTGGAAAGGGAAACCACAGTAATCAATCTGAGGCTGTGGATAAGGTATTCCCTACCTGCTGGACTCTTTTCCTCCTCTAATCCCTATTTTTCCTCTTAGAGCCACTCCTCAGTATAGCTACTGAAGCATTGCAGCCCACAGCTGAACACCTGGATGCGTGAGACAGCCAAGTTACCATTTTATGGACATACTATATAAACTCTCCCACTTTTTAGTCAGTATTGGAAGTATGTGTTCCATTCTTGCAATAATGAGCTTGAATTGTTTCATATTTACACAGGCTGGCTTCCAGCCACACTTCTCTCCTAAAGTGTGTGCAATTTACATTTGAATACTCATAATGCTTAATATTCTATATTGATTGTTGATCCTTAAAAACCTGCAAAGAATGGACCTGGCATTGCAGGCAGAGAAAAAGATTATTTTTTTCAAAACACATTGCCGATACTTGAACGAAAGCCAACACTCTACAACGTAGCAATCACTTGCATCATTTCTATGCTTCATGTTGCCTTATATGTACTATTGGATGTTCATGCACAAGATAAATATATACCCAGTTCCAGCAGGAGAGCAAAGAGGTTTTTCGTATTAATGATTTGTTCATTTTTGTTTAATAAGTGCTTCTTGCTCCTCTTCTCTCTCTTTCCTGATGTACACTTTTAAGGCAGCCTTTTACTTTCACTCAGCAGGAGATCATGAGTTTTTCTGTGGGAAAATTAAGTTTGTGGAAAATGAGAGAGAGAGATGTGTGTAATCACACACCTCAAAGAACTCTAAACTATCTTTGTTTTTGCAGGCAGTACAAATTACGTAGGAGTGCTGAATTAGCTGGTAGAATTGCACGGTGTTTAAATACTTGCACAATTCTTCCAGTGGCTGAGCGCCACTGACTTCAAATAAGGCATATAGATCCGTACCAGCTGAAGCTTTAGTCCTAGAAATCATGTTCTTGTGTTTTTATGGATATAGAATTGGATCTTAAAATATTTCAATTCTTTACAAGATCTCAGACTTGCTGGGTGACCCTATGCAAGTCGTTTAATTTCACTGTGCCCTGGGGCTTTTTGTTTCTAAGCTGATGAAAAGAAAAAATTAATCCTCCCCTTTCTGGGATATTACAATGTATGTTCAGATGAGGACAATGAGAGGCGTATGTATGCCTATTAAGAATAATTATTGGTAAGCGCCACTCAGGCTAACCGCTGGCTTCTAAGTGAGCAACAGTGGACATGCTGTCCATTGAATGTTTCTCTTCCTTTGTCTCCCCTCACCTGCTCATGCCTGAAACTTGGTAGAAGAGTTAAGGAGGTTTCCTCGATTCCAGGTTCTTTGTGTTTAACTTGGAGGTAATAATTAGCCATCAGAGAAGAAGAATTTTATCTTTTTTGAAGAGTACTTTATCAATATTGCATTGATACAAACAGCTTCTATAGACAGTCACTTCAAAATATATTTCAGAATATTTACTTGCTCAAGCTAAGTATAACGGTGAAAAGAAAACGGTACAACAATACGAGTTGGTAGGTTGACAGATATGAAGTTAGTAGCTTAACCTTTGGATAGGTGAAGTAAGTTGGGAAGAGAAAGACTCTGTTTATGTGACAATAAATACTCATTGTACAGAGTGGTTGGTTGAACACCTGTGTACCATTTTTCAGGTCTAATTCGCCTGCAAGAGCTCATCAAAGCCCCTTCTAGATACAACATTAAAATCAAAATCCGCCAGCTGCCCTCTGGGAATAAAGATGCCAGGCCTTTACTCAAGGAGATGAAGAAGGGCAAGGAGTTCTATGTGATATTTGATTGCTCACATGAAACAGCAGCAGAAATCCTTAAGCAGGTAAGGGGGAGGGAGTGAAAAAGCTCAAGACTCTCTACGTATCCTGAAAGTTGTCAGCTTGTCTAGTTTTTACTTTCTGGGAAACACTAAAATTGAATTTGTTAATATCAGCCATAGGCCATAGACTTTTTAATATCAGGGACAGAAGTTTGAGTGCATTGGCGTTAGTCTATAGACTTTCTAATAACAGAAACAGCGGTTGTTACAGAGCAATGTGCAACTTCTGAGCATTCAACAAGGCTTCAGGGCTTCGCTGAGCTGTAAGGACTGTACTTACAGAGCAAAAGGAAACATGCTACCCTTTTTAATACTTCAGGTTCTGCATGGCTAGGAAGCTTGTCACATTTATTTTAGTTTGTCCTGTTTTAATCAATAAAGTTTTTATATCTTCTCCCACCAAAAAAAAGGGGGGGACCCTCAGGGAGTAACTCACACCAAGCTATTCCCTCCGCAGAGCCTGCACATCTACTGCAGACGAGAGAATAACTCTGCATTCACATCACTGTAGCAAAGCAAGATTTGGTCTGCTGGTACTACCTTATCAACTTTTAAACTGTGTTGCAGCAAGAAGATGGAATGACAATAGTATCAGAGGAAAAAAGTATGCTTCAAAACAGGAAAAGAGGCTATTGTTCCAGGGCTGACATAGCCCTGACCTAAATGAGAGACATGGACAGTCACACAAGGCAAGGACAAATGCTACAAAGTCTGATATTAATGGGCTGGGACATTACCAGAGGCACATAGTGGTGTAAATTAGAATTTAGTCTTGTCACTTACTATACACTTCTAGACAATCAAAGTCTAAAGCACTGGCTCACACAATTCATTGACCTATAAACAATAATACCAAGCAAATAACGGACAGTGAACGGTGTTTCCCTTTTTGCTGCAATTGTGTGGGAGAGAGGGGGTGTTTTGTTGTTAACTATCAGACAGTCTAATAGGAAATACTGACCACAGCCCATTAAGAGAGGGCGCACTGATTTAAAAGCACAGAAGTGAGCCATCCCCAAGAGATTAAAAGCTAATGTTCCCAGCCCAGAATGTTGTGTTGAAATATTTAAGTTATGCAGAGTAGCCTACTGTACTGTAAATAAGACAACTGACTGGATGCATTAGTCTGCAGAGCCTGAAACCATGCTCTTTGCACTGGAGAATCGCAGTCCTGCTCATACAGACTTGCAGGATGGTGTGCTAAATCAGATGCAATGCAGCTGAGAGCAGGCACACAAGTTCCCATGAGCTGGGAAGGTTCGATTTATTGCTGTCAGGAGAGTCGGCTTGTACTAGATTTTAGGGTTTTCTCCGTGCAGGCTATACATTTAAGCTACGACAGGACCAGCTGCAGGCATGGTGTTGGGAATGTGAGGAAAGAGCAGGGGGAGGGTGCGCAGTCACAGCTGCTCTCTCATGTGATGGGGAGCACACCGTAAGGAGCAGCACTGACGGTGGGGGGATCAACAGCGATGCTGTCCCCCAACTCTGCTCCCCAGTAGGTCTGTCCAAAAGCATTAAAACATGACAGCAGGAACAAGCTGCTCCAAAACGAAATTTGTGGGGGCAGAGTTAAACTGGCAACATGAATTTTCAAGGATCTGCAAGAAGAAAGTGCAGATGTCTGGCACGCTGCAGGAGGCACAGGGCTTCAAATATTCCAGGCTGAGTATAAAGAAAAATAGAATAATCTTAGTGTCAAAAGAAGAAGAGGCAGTGCTAAAAGATGCACTAAGACAGGGCAAAGTGACAGAACAGTTTGTGTAGGAAATGGATCACGGGAGAACTGACAGGCTGCAGATCCAGAAAATGCTCTCCAGTGCTTAAAAGCTCAGAGAACGATGGTGAATAGCAGTGTGGAAGGAAATTAAGAGAAGTACACCTGCAGGTCAGAGCTGCGGGAAAGGAAGCAACATAAATATAGGCTAGAGAGAAAGGGAAAATGTTTTTTATTAGAGCTAGTCCTGTGGCTGTATCTAGATGCTGACAGCAGTAACTCAGGTGCTGTAGTTCCTCTCTGCCAAAGGCAGCTTTGAAATTAAAGAAGTGGAGGGCTCTGAATTTGCAAGTACAACTCATCTGATTGTAGGTTAGGTATGTGCAGTACCATAGGTCATATTCTCATCATCACACACAGAAATCCCTATATAATTCAACGGTGCATGAGAAGAAGAAATTAAACAGAATACTACAGAAGTTATTCTAGGAAAACTCTGCAATGTCAATAGAGAATATTCTTGATCTAGAGACTTTGTAAACCATCCAAGAGATATTATGGAAAAATATAAATCATTACGAAACTATGTAGGGCTTCTAATAGGAGCAGGAACCAGAGCCAACAGTCATATAAATCAATCCCAATAGCAACAATTTCTCATCTGCCTACTGTATTTACAATAATCTAGCAGTGGCTTAGTAGCCCATGTAGGAAAAGATAAATAAAGCAAGTAGAAATTTTTGGCAGGGAGAGGGGGTTGGTATTTTACAGATTAAAGCTACAGTGGGGTCACACACGGGCCACACTAAGGGCTGCATTTCCCCCTCCAAGGCACAGGGTGCCACCTCTGTACTGGGAGCTGCAGCATCTCCTTTGGACACCCCAGGCGGGCAGGTGCAGTAGCTCTCGCCTCATCTAGGCTGGAGAAGAGGCAAAAGGACAGGTCTGACCTGCCCCCCTCCCCCTGCTCTTCCCTGCTGCCGGGTGGCCAGGCGTACCTGCAGCAACGTTTCTGCTGGCAGCCGCCGTCCTTCCTCTGAGCTGCAAGCAGAGGCAGGGCAGAAAAGCCACCTGGCTTCTGCAAGTCGTACCTGCTGCCGCATGCCGAGGCGTTGGCAGCGATGGCTCTCCAAGCAGGTGCAAATCACGCCGGAGCTCAGGGGGCACTGGCTATATCACAGCTTGGTTCCCGGGGAAGGAAGCGGAAGGGATGCTGAAAAACCCTTTATGGGAGCTAAAGGATAAATACCCCAGAAATAATGTCCTAAAAGAATCAGCATATAGAGCTCGGTTTGGGAGTACAGAGCTCCTCCGACCAGCTACATTGCGAGGATGCGGGCCTGGGAGAGGAGACCAGTTCACTGGCCTGCCTGGAGCTTTTGTTTACAAAACAGTGCAGAAGATAGATTTCTTCTTTTAAATGAGACTATCTTTTGCTTATTTATAGCTCCAAATACAATACCACACTTCTGCCTTGTGCGCAACTAGAGCAGGCAAATCAATAAGCTAATTTTAAACAAAATGTAAAGCCTGCATGCAGCTGAATAAGTTGTTCCCTCAACTCATACATTTTTCCTTCTCTCTGACACACTTCAGAGATCCCAGCCTTTCACTGTCCCTGATGAGCTTAATGAAGCCTGGTCCTCACGATCCAGACCTGGAATGAGTAGGAGGAAATTGTGATTATTAATTGCTGCCTTTTCCAATGGTTACTCTGAGTTTTCTCTCCAATATTCCGTTAAGGGAGTCGGTAACCTCATGGGACTGGAGCAGTGAGGGAGTTTACCAGCTCTGTGGCCTGTCCTAGGCAGCTACGTAACCATCTGAAACCAGTGGTTTCTGCTGACCAAAGTGGCCTGTTCCATGGGCATCAGGACAGTCTGAAATTACTTGAACCTTGAGGTTACACCAGCAGACCTCACAAGCACAACGTGCTACATCAGCCAGGCCTATGCAAAAAGCTGCAACTGGTCTGTCACTTCCATGGTCTACCTGAAAATACCAGTCCTGTTCTCTCTGAAGGCAAGAGATTTGGCTGCTGGAGTTTTAAAATTCAAGAGTGAACAAATCTTCTGTCAAGGAGCACGATCTAGCAGAGACTTAGATGCTAAAAGTAGGAGTTAAGTAAAGTATAGTTGTAGCTTATTAGTGCAATAGTGTGATCTCCAAAGTCCCTGCCCAGTATCTGCTTGCGCTCTCTAGGAGCCTCCCTGTTCGACTTCAGCAGATGGTGCCTACCGTCTCTCTCCTTTCCAAGCTTAAAAATAGACACCTCCAGCAGAGCGTGAGCTGATCAGGCACTCTCCAAATATGCCTATAAGGAGCAGGACGGGGTCCCTTGCAAAAGGAAGCTGGAAACATTTTCTTAGGGAAACCATGGTGATCACAATACTCACCTAAAATATTTGGCAGACAATGATTTAGTGCTCTGTCTAGACTGTAGGCAGTCAATTCCACAATTCATTTAAAGCTAGTTATTGTGAATTGCAGTCGGTTGTATGTGTAAGTCTTCCAGTATACCCTGCACATACTGTATGTGGTCTCATACTACCTTTTTGTATGAAGGACTTCCTTGAAGAGCTTAAGTTGCAATTTATCCTTCTAACTTACCAATGATTGATATAGATTTTACTGGTAGGCAAATGCATCTTTCATAGATTATGTAGCTACCAACCTTAAATTATCCACTCCTCTCCCCACACCTTTAAAATATTTTTTATGGAATACACAGTATTTTAATTAGATTTAAGACACTCATAAAGCATTTTATAAAACCTTCTATGTTCACTTTCACTCTGTGACAGAAAGAGCAGCAAAATAACTAATTCTGTTCTTATAGGAGTGCTAAAATTAAGTGTCACTGTAGTATACATTCTAAGTATAATAATAAATGTGTGAAGATAAAACATCAGCTCTTGAGTATGCTTCCTCAAGTAGCTTGATGCAGGGGAACTGGAGCCCACTGCTAAAAAAAGACAGGATTTGCTCTCTTCTCACTAATGCTGGGGAAATTCCTATGGCAGATCCTCCCAGACCCCTGCGTGCCCCAAGGTGAGAAGCAGAGATACTCATTTCACAGGTTCTCTTCGCTCTTCTGGAATTTATAAAGGGGTCCCAGTGGGGACATGTCCTCTTCTGGCCACCTGGTTCTTGATGAAAAGTCTCAGGCAACTAGGGGAAATCCCAACTCATGGACTAAGGCATGGGTGAAGACAATGGGCTCAGAAAGTGAACCTTACCACAGTGCTTGCAAGAGCCCTGATGTCCCGCATCATTTCAATAGGGA